ATAGCAATTAGTTCTTTCAACACCTGAAGCAAGAAAACCTATTTCCTCTTCAGTCTTTGTGTCTTGCATTTGATTGCAAGATCCAATTGAAGATTTTCATATGATCTCACGCCTACCATGTGTCCTGCCCATATGGAATTGCTAGTAAAGCCAAAAGCTCTCATTGACTTATTCAATACTTTTTTTTTTTTTTTTTTTTCCTACAGTTGGAGCAGTTGCTTGTTACCTTTTCTTTATTTGAGTGATTGTTTTTCACAGGGTTTGTAGGTCTATCATTATGAACGAGAACTCCACTCCTTTGCAAGTTAGGTTGAAACCTGAGGTCCCTGGGGAGACTGGCAGACAGACATTCTGCCTTCATACGCTGAATTTACTTGCTGCACCATTTTAGAACAGCTGAGAATAAGGCTACAGTACCCAAAGACAGAAGAAGGGAAGCAAAAGATAGTGTGTATCATCTCTGCATTTGTGCCTTTAAGAATAATCAGCTGTGTTCATGGTTGTGTACCTACAGCATAACTAATTTCAGTGATACTTTCACTTAGGGGCCAGTATAGCCTCATTTCTTGCTGATCTAACTGATGAGGCAAAACAGTTACACTGCTAGATGCTATTAAATTTACAAAAGCATTGGATAATTCTGGTAATTGACTCTTTAGGGTCTTCTAACCTGCTCAATTCAATTTTAAAAGCATAGGGCAGAGTAGACATCCCTCCATCCATTATTCAGTTAGGTAAACTTGTCCCATTATTATTGCCGTCCCCTGAACACATTTTTCTTTTATTGGACTATATTTTTTGTTGTAATGCTTTTGAGATCTACCACAAATTTATAATACAAAATTTGAGATTGTCTAAGATCATGGTGGTATCTATACTGCCACTTTTTGCCCAAGTCAGACATTCTCTGTCATTTATGTCAGTAAGCAATCAGAGGAAAGAGACTTACAAAACAGCAAATCTTGATTTTGGAAGAATGTCAGGTCTACTTTCAGCAGATTTTTGTAAGTTTATTCTTATATGTACTACTATGTTCAAGGAATGAGAAAAAAAATCAGTGTGATGTTTTATTCATATTATTAAATAAAATACATTGAACAGGACTTCTACATTCCAAGCAGTGGAAATAAAATTCCACCATGACCTGTAGAAGGAGTATTCCTCTTTTGCCCCTAGAACTAGATCAGCTTTCATCAGTCAAAGCTTTTATTACTTTATCAACTCCCTGTGCCCTCATGGATGACTGTGTTTTTCCTGCAGACATCTAACTGCTGGAAGCTTGAAAAACAACACATGGTGAAGTAATATAACTGCTGTGCTTTAACCAGCCAAGTCTGCATTTCTCTTGCTGCAAACTCCTGTTCTTTTGGCTGCAGCGAGCATTTGCTTTGAAAGAACACAAATAAGCCAGTAAAATACATATGTATTTTATTACAAGCTTTCCTTCCCTTTCTATGCAAATATGATTAGAAGTTTGAACTCCAAATCGTTTCTCTGGAGTTTAAAAATAACTCCTGCTTTTGCTGGTGTAGCTACAGTAATTATGATCATATGCAATGGGAGAAGCTGCAAGGAGATGACAATCTGGGAATCCTTTCTTGTTATTCTTGGCCTTATATGAATCCATTAATAACTTGCTCTCTGGATTTGCTGGTGCTGATTTCTGTACTTGTGTTTATATTCCACAGGATGTCATGAAGGCCAGATTGAGTGAAGATATTGTAAGAATTCAAGTCTATTTTTACCAGTAATTTTTTTTCTTTTTCTTCTTTTTTTTTTCTTAAGAGGAATTTTCCTAATTCAGCCACCTCATGAGAATCAGATTAATTTTCATGTTGGAGCAACTTTGTGTGTTTTTTATCTTTGGCCATTACTAATTTTCTTTTCCCAGGCCATCAGCATCAGCAAGTTTTCTTTTGCCTTTTTGTAACTTATGAGTTTCATGATGTGACCCACATCTTGGACTCAGCTGAACATCAATAAGTGTTCTCAGCAAGCATATATGAATTTCTTTACTGGTCCTATCAGGTTGTCTATGCTATTTACTCCATAGTTTGGGTAGTGCCATTATCAGTTACAGGATTATTTCATCTCTGCATTTCTTTAAATCTTTTGGCTGGGAAACTGGGAGGATACAGTCAAAACTCCCTCTATTTTTCAAACCTGGTCTATTCACACCTGGTATTGAGATTCCAGTGGTTGTTTACTTCTTTCAGACTGTTTTGGACCCTGTCACAATGTTGGAATAATAATTTGGTTGATTTTGCGGGGAATATAATTTGGTATGTTAGGAAAAAAACTGCACCTGAAAACCGTGTATATAACAAGGCTCCTACAACAAGCCAACATTACCTGAGTCAAGCCAGCACTTGAGACATGCGAGCACTTCTGTTTCATCTCATTTAATAAAGGCATATGAAAGTTTTATTTTAGCAAGATTTGGCTTTCAGTATGATTTGGATTGACAGTATATTGCTGGTGGGTAACAGAAGTTATAGAGGAAGTATATTCTCATGTAAACTTATGGTCTAGTCTATTAGTTCTTAAGTAGAGCCCAAGGGTTTAATTTTGGAAGAACTGGTAATATCACTCTTTGTTAAAGTCACTGAACACTTTCCATTGTTAGTCTCTGTTTTCTGTTCTTTATAAACTGGTGAAAATCTCAGTTGCAGCCAAAATATTCCACTGGCAAATGTCCTCAGCTGATGTTTGCTTAGGAAGTGTCAGACGTTTCTGAAACATTTTGAAATATGTCTAGAAAAAAGAGGAAACCAGTATCGCCTCTGTTGTCATTTCTGGTGCGTTTTTTTTTTCCCAGAAATGGTACTGCCTTGTTTTGCAAGAACTCATGAGGAAGTACTGAATTTATAAAACTTCAATTACATTAAAGGTGCTAAGTACATCACTCACTTTTTATCAGCCAAATACCCTAAGGGTTCTGTCTGTACAGACTCAATCTACAGGATGAAAAGAACTGGTGGTTATGCTGGTCCTTTATCCTAAAATCTGAACTGGGAGACCACCTAGTCTGTGTTCAGAGGGATGACTCCTTGGGCCCAACATCTAGGAGAAGACAGATCCTTCTGTGAGTTAGGGAAGAGTATTTACAGGTGGATATCAGAGGAAAATGATGAAGAGAAAGTGGTAGGCCATACTGTAATTTATGGCAGTCATAAACATTCACAGGGAAAGGGGAGGTACTAAAGTAATCATAGGTAAGTTTAATTATGCTCTTTCCTGATTTGGGTCTTGCTCTTATTAACATTAATATACATTACTGAGAGGCTTTTTAGGGAAGACAGTCATTTTAATTTTTTGCCATAAATACCACAGTCACCATATCTCACAAAAAGTCGATAAGAAACCCTCTGAAGATATGCATGAGCTAATAAAATATTATTATTAATAATAATAATGTAATCATTTAATAATTTAGATATGAAGAAACCGCTGAAGGTCTTCTGGCTCCAATTTTCCTACTCAAAGCAGGGCTAGCTTTGAAGACTAGCTATGTTTCTCAGGCCTAGTTCTTACAACTGGTTCCTGTGTCCTACTTCATCTTGTCAAAGAGATACTTGATCCCCATTCCTCAGTATGGACAGATTTTCCTCAGATGGACAGATTTTCTTCTGAATCACTCAGTGCATTGGTTAAAATTGTTAATAGATATTGGCAGAGGGTAGCAGCTTTCTGTGAGCTTTCTCACAATGGCTTTTCTGAGACATCCACTTATAAACAGTAAAGTGTATAGGTAGCCTACAGCAGATGCCTGGTGTTACAGAGATATTTTCTGCATTCCCTTCATTTGTTTGCTGAAGAATGAAGTGTAATTTTTTCTCTGCCTTCTTTCCCTTTCTCTGTATTGTGTGCTTCTAGACTAATGGGGAGGAGATGTTACTGGAAGATAAGCTGCTCTTAGAAAAACCTGCCTCTGCATGCTGCCACCAGGTAAGAGAACCTCCTCCTGCCCCTAGTATCTGCTCCTGTCATTCTCAAGATTTGATCTGGTAGAACTCAGGTTTCTCAGGGAAATTAGCTTTACATTTTATCTTTACATCCGCCAAACCTATAACAAAACATGGCCAGGTATTGAAGTTTTTCCTTAAAAGTAAAGTCACTCCATGCTACAAGATAAATAAAAAAGAAAAATGAAAAGCCATTTTTGTCTTTCTCATACACATAAAAAAGACTAAGAATGTTTGAAAATATACAGAAATATTTAGATTAGCAGTATTTGCTGTTTCAGTGTTGTATGACAAAGCCTCTTACATAAAAGAGAATGCTTATATTTCTAGCATCCAAACATGATGGAAATTTGCAAGCATGGACAATATTTATGTCAGCACAGGTTTGGCTATGGCAGTATACCATCTGCAGTGGAGGATCAGCATCACAAGTCATTTGTCAAAAACTGTAGATAATGGTTGCCTTTTTTGTATTTGTAATTTTTGCCTATTTGCACATAAGGTCTAAATGGACAAAAACAAACTGGGGGAAAATCTTGCTAAGCTTTCTTTCGAAAGCGTAAGGTGATGCATACAGAAGTTCTATGTGGGTTTCACGAGCACAGAATAATCATTAAGCAGGTGTCCTAAGGCAATGAATGTCCTGCAGTGCCTTCCCTGTGTCTGCGTATCTCTACTCCATGGTAACAAAGTTTTATTATACTGTCCAACATTAATCACATTTATCAGATGAACAGATGCTCTGTTATTAAGTTATAAATTTAGTGCATATCAAGCCAAGTAAAAGGACTTGCAGGTTGCTTGCTCTGTCTACCGGTCACCAGGTGAATGCTGATTAGCAATTTGGCACAGCACCCTCAGCAAGTTAGCAGATAACATTAAGCTGAGTGGTGCTGAGATGCTTAACAGCTTTTTTTTTTTTTTTTGCCTCAGTCTTCACTGGCAACTGCTCTGAGCAGATTGGTTAGAAAGTGGAGTCTGGGGGAGTAATGTCCCTCCTGCTGCATGCAAAGATCAGGTTTGTGATCAGCTGAGGAACCTGAACATCTGTAAGTATGTGGATCCCAATGAGGTCCATTCCAGAGTCCTGAGGGAATTGGCTGGTGTAGTCAACAAGGCACTCTCAATGATATTTAAAAAGTCATGGCAGGCAGGTAGAGTCTGAAGAAGAAGCAGGTCCAGAGGAAGCCATAAAGATCAGAGGGCTGGAGCACTTCACCTATAAAGACTGAGGACTAAAGACTAATCTTGTTCAGCCTGGAGAAGACTTCAGGGAGATACTATTGCACTCTTCCAGTAACTAAAGAGGGCTTATAAACAAGATGGAAGCCAATTTGTACATGGTTTGGTAGTGATAGGACAAGGGGGGAATGGTTTTAAACTGACAGAGGGGAGATTTTGGTTAGATGTTAGGAGAAAATTTTTTACTCAGAGGATGCTGAGGTGCTAGAACATATTGTCCAGAGAAGGTAGTCCCTTCCAATCCAAGCCGCTCTCTGATTCTGTGAAGCAGCCCCAGCACCAGTTTTGGAAGATGGGTGATACCACAGAAAGGGGATGGAAACTCATCTCAAGGTAAGAAGCTGGAATTACTATGACAGGAGGAAATGCAGGGCTGCAAGAAACAAAACATCATGCATGCAGCTGTTGATAGAAGAACTCAATACTTTGTGATCTAAGCAAAATATCAAGTTAAAGCTATGGTGTTGATTTATAGTAAGATATCCACTACAGTGAAATGCAATTCTTCCAGCTTTCTTGCAGTTATCAACTCTGAAATCTGATCTGAGGTTCTGCTGGATTTTGTAAAAGCACAGTTCTGTGTTTCAGGAGCCTGTGTTGGCCTGGGATCAGTGCACTCATTCCAAGACAGTTAGTACATTATGTGGTAAGTTGTTGCTCTGAAATTCATTATTTGCAATGATATTTATATGCACTTATATCCTTAAATAGCCTCCTCCTCATCTGTCACAAAAAGATTGCAGGTATGACTGCTGCGTCATTTCTGGTAGTGTTATGGCATTAGATTGTTTTTTTTCTCCTTTTGAAGGTTTGAAGACCTTCCCTGCTAGCTTTGAGAACTCCGCAAAGCCTTTGGAAGATCTGTGAGAAGGTAGGAGAGTCCCATTGGAGCCATGTAATACTCCTGGAGGATCTGCCTTCCACTCAGCTCAAAGTCACAAGCTCAGATAATGGCACATTCCAGGCTAATTGCTTCAGAGAAAGGAAAACAGCAAAGAAAAAGCTGAAGTGAAAAACCTTTAAAAACCCTCAACTTTTCACAGTTGGGTCAGAAAGAAAGTGCTGTAAAGGAATTACTGTCTTCACAATGCTAGATTACTTTCTCACTAGCAGACAACAGAATGATTTGAAAGTACTGTACTGTGTACCATACAGAATAATTCTGGAACTGTTCCACGTACTGGTGTGAATGAACAAGAAAATAATCAATCACTTCATTTTTATGAATGCTACCTATTTTGCATACGTCTGTGGTTGTTTATTTTTTAAAGTTAGGTGTGTAATGGTGGCTTTGACTAACTCATATATCAATATCTAAGTATGGATTTGCAAGAGCTTTAAGAAGATGGGTCTTAGGATTGTTATTATTTCATGCATAAAAAGTATGAGGAACAGAGATAGTTAATGACACACCTTCTAAATGACATCTGGTAAATGGAGGAACTGGAACTACACATACTTACTGTCTTTTGTAAATTCCAAGGATTTTTTGAACCATGTATGCTATTTTACAATGCTATTTCTTTGCAGTTTAATAAAGTAATTTAACTTGTTTCACACATATTTAGAGGTAAAGATTCCAGCAAGTGGAGCCTGAACATAGTACAAAAACTACTAGCATCTTTTTCTGAAGTAGGTTGCTTAGGTGTTTTTTAGAGTGAAATGAGTATTTAACTAAATATCTTTAATGAACTTTGCACAGAAATGAAAACAGTAGGTCTCCTCTTTAATGCTAGGTAAAAACATATTCTTTTAGAGAAGATTGATTTCTTTTCAAATATCTCCTAATCAAAAGTTAATTTCCAAAATTTAATGCTGATGTTTACCACTATCAAAATTATCAGTGAGCATAAATTTCCAAGAATACAGGCATGCACATAGCACCTGATCATGTAGTGAGGTAGTAAGAATCATTGGACTTGAAAGAGGCAAAACCAGAGGAAGGATCATTTTTCAGACACTCAACACTAAGCCACTTCTTCATGTCCTACTCTTCAGGGAAAGGAGCTGAGATACCTTCTTGTGTTGTCTATGCAGATACACCAAGATTCATAGCAGTCCCCTTATAATGACAATGGTACTTACATAAAGTGTTTTTCAGAAATGTACTTCAGTACAATTTATGAACATTTTAAAAATGGAGCATCCGCCATTTTCCATGACTGTTTTAGTAGTCACCCATAGCTACTCTTGTTTTCATTTTTAACTTTGAACTGGTATGTTGTGTATTTTTTTAAAGTCATTGGCTCTGGTTGTTTCTTTGACATATGCACTTCACTGATAGGAATGAAGATGAAGGCCTTGCAGGATAGCAAGAATTCAGCGTGACCCTGACAAAAATCCATGCCCAAATCCATTATCAGGCCTTTCTGCTATGTCATGCCAACACTTGACTCAGTAAGCCATGTCTGGATGAGAATTTAGCTTCAAGGTTGTGTATGTTTTAGTAAGAAAAATATGCATTTCAACATGTAATAAGAAAGTTTTTTCTATTTTATGATTCATTGAAAGTTGACTTAGCTTTGCTTAGGAGTGAAAAAAGCATTATTGAGAGAGACTCTGAAAAATACTGAAACATGCAATTGCAAGAAATCCCTTTGATTATGAAATCGTGTTTATCCTGGATATGTCTAACATGCATATAATTTGATTCAAGCTTATCGCAAGCCAGAATTAGAACAGCAGATTGCTTACTTTTAGGAAGAAGTGTAATCCAGGGCTTTACTGCTTACATGATTTGTGTAATTAGAAAAGGGCCATGGTTGATGTCACTGGATTAATCTCTAACAAACTGGTAGGTTTGATAACCTGCTACCATTGAAGTTCAAAAGATTCTATGGCACATTTTAACTAATCCATGACTAAAAGAAAAATTAATTTGTCTTCTACACTGTCATCATGACATTGCAAGTGGAAATGAACACACTGTTTTTGAATTATTTAATCTATTCGATTACTTGTTTGAGAAGTCACAATTTTTATTCAAAGGTATAGTGAAGATCACATCTAATATTTACACAACAGTGTTTGAATTATCAAAAAAATTCTGTTTCATTTTTTGATTTTGTCTAGCGATAAATTCTCAGTTATTATAATGCACACTTCAACCTTTGCTTTATGCCCATTAATCAAAATGAATCTAAACATTTTAATTCACTGACTTTTGATAATAATTTCAAGCAGTGATCAGAAAAGCTTAAGTATTTGTTTTTCACCTTTTCCGTATATTTACATTGTAATTAAAATTCTACGTAGTAGATTTACAAATGTAACTTCTTTGAATCTTGACTTTAAATTAAATCTAACATTTATTGTTCAGAATTCATCTTTATGATCAAAAGACAAAATATTAAGCTGAACAACTTGTACTATACTACATGTATTCATAAATGTTTTTAAAGAGTTTTCAACATAGAAAACATCAAGCAATACATTTCTTCTTTACTAAGTATTGTATAATTTGGAAGCTGTGGCAAGTTGTATTTGATTGGAAATTAGGATCCACTTACAAGTAAACCAGAGTTCCTTTCAATTACATTAGAAAATCTTTTTCACTTCTTTAATAAAAGCAGTAAAAAACAGGTACTTAAATTGCTCTGTCAAATAGAAGAAATACTGTCTGTACATAATGGCTTAACTGAATCAGGAGATGACCGAGTCTTTCAAAGGTTTAGAATTAATAGATCCTCTCCATTTTGTCTTTATTTCTGAACTGGAAGAGTCATGCAATATTTACTGCTTTGTTCACTTTTGGTTTCTCAACCAAATAACCCAACTCAGGACAAAAAGACTCCGTCTTGAAAAAATGGCAATTTTTCCATCACTTTCTGTTCTAGACAGTTAGCCAATGAAAATGATGTGCCATTATTTTCAGCTTTCTTTAAAATTCCTGGAAATTTGTATTACTTCAGTGACTAGTGGTAATTGTTGGTATGACTGATGAATAATAACTAGGGGCATAACGCATCTGGAATAGCAGCAAGAGGTTTTGATTTGCCTTTTTGAAAACAGTTATTTAACTTCAAATTTTGTCAGTTCCTTCTAAGCAGGCTTTTTATTTTAGTTTAGTTTATTTTTCTTTTAGGTCTTTCCGCAGCTCGGTTGTTTTCTCAGCCATCACCTAAAGCTTGTTTTGATAACAAAATACTGGATGTAAATGTACTATTTTAGAAATCTAGAGGAGCTTTGATAGAGGACAGCTAATATCTTCCAAGTCACTCATGTATATAATGACATTTCAGGTATGCTTATTAATAACACAAAGATAGATACAAGAAAATTACTGGGTTTTAATTAATGCTATATTTTGTGGTAGGAGCCGAGAGGAGAGCTCTGAACATGCTTCAGAAAAAGGAATAAGTAAGAAATTAATTCAGTTCATTCACATGTACCAGCACTGATTCCTAATCATTGCTTTTAAATGAATAATTCTAAGGCAACGTTATAGTTTATTTTTTGAAAATTTGCATTTGCAAATGAAATGCATACCCTTTTTTCTTAATTAAAAAGACTATTTACACAGGAACTTCTTAAGAATTTTCCACACTTGATCTTCATGTACCTTAGTCTGTGCTATAAATAATAACAGAAGATTTCAGTAAACAAAAAACAGAAATGAAGACAAATGTGTGAATTTTAAAACTTAAAGATTTTGGTTGCTAAAATGAAAAATTATTAGTGTTCTGTCCATTACTGTGATTTAAGGTCTCAATCAGTTACATCACAGCTGTACCATTTTTATGAAACTGGAGTTGGCAGAAAAGATTAAAGGTATTTAGCCACTGGTTCTGTACAAAGCTTAAAAAATACCCTCTATCCAGGCAATCAGGGATGGCTCTTTAATGCCATGTTCATGGATATTTACTAATTAATGAATTTATGCTTTTCTTCCATCTTAGTGAAACTTGCCATAATTTGAAATTGTAAGGATATTTATTTAATAGCATACTTATCTTAAGAATATTTAAATAAATGTATTGAAATATTACAGTTTTTTTTGGTAACTGAGAATTTTAGTCTGTTAGGAGTCAAGAAAAATAAGGGCCCAGTGACTTGCGCCAGGCAACATAATTTTCATTCTAAATCAATGCAAGGCTTGCATTCTGCAGTGTGCGTGGAGGCTTTTGGAAGTTCACCTCTTGTTGGTACGTGGTCAGTGGGGTACCATTACTAATTTCAAATACTGAAATTGAGGGTATGAATTTTGTTCTCTGGATTGAGGTTCTTGTCAAATTATGTATATTCTTGACTAGGTAAGCTCATATAGAACTCTTGTATACTGAAGACATAAACAGTTTTGTTTGTTTGTTTATTTGCTTGTTTTTATTTCCCTAAAAGCCAGAAGGTGATAACTGTATCTTAGGTATGCATGAAACACCATGATGCACTCAGATAGTAAGGTGAAGAAATTTCATCTTTGTCCCTACGTCACTCTCTTGTGATGATAAAATATTTTTGAGAAGAAGCCCTCATTATAAGCTGTCCTTTACTTCCAAAAATGTTAAAGTGGCAGGAAGAGAATGAGAATCTCCTTAAAGATATGTTTTCTTGTCACCAACTTATCTGTTAGCAGCTTTTACAGGGACAGTTGTGTCCCTGCCTCTTCACCTATCTGTACATTCCTGCTGCTTCCCTACAGTGTCCAGTCCCTAGAGAAACAGCTCTGTTTCCCAAACCATCAGAAAACTAACTCAGGGAACAAAAACTCTTCTGCTTCTATTGGCTGCTGTTTCAGTGAGCTGCACTGGGAAGTCGCATAAGCACTAGTGCATCTGAAAATGGGACGGAGTTCTAGTTTATGCAGTCAGCAATAACGTAGAAGTAAACTAATAATAGACTGGGCATTGTAGAGCTAATAATATAGTGGGAGACAAGAACCAGTCTATAAGATGTTGTGGCCAGCCAGCCATCCCTTTGGAAAAATAAATTTTGGGGGAGATAGATTTAGCCTTGGCTGAACGAGGGATGGCACTTGGTGGCAACCTCCACTTTGATTGAGTGCTTCATTTTGAACCAGCTGTATGAAAAAAAGACAAGGATGTAATTGTCAGAGAACTCAGAAGGAGGAGATTGCAAAAAGGAGTACTTCAAAGGCGAATCCACCTGTATAAGTACACAGCTTGACTTCTTGCCGCCTCTGCATCTGCAGCTTCTCTGCAAATAATCTCCCAAGGAGAGACCTTGGCATTCTTCTGTGTTATTTATTATTCAGTATGAAGTTCATGAGCTGCTGAGGAGAATGAGTTTCTTGCTGCATCAGAGAGACTTGACTGAATACAGGGCAGGAAGTCTGTTTTGTTCAGCATGTTTGTTATAGGTAAATACCAACATCAGCTTCACAATTCTACTGAACCTTTTTTTAAAGTGCTGTTCGCAACCAGGCGAAGATAGATCACATACCAAAAAAGTAACAAATTTGTGGTTGGCTAAAGCTATATATTGTCTGCAACACAAAACTACAATAGCTCTATATGAAAAGGATGAATATATTAAAC